TAATGGAAAAGGCCCCACAGATGCAGTCAAAATTGAATACGCCGATTTTTAATCATCAAACGATTTCCAAGAGTTTTTTGGATGATCGGTGACAATATTACAAAGGACGGAGGCTTTTTTGAACAAAAGTTTTTTCTCAGACACTACTAGGTCTATTTTCTCAAATCTTCATTTTTGCACTTATTTTCTTTAGTAACCCTGTATTTTCGTGTGTATATGGCAATAGGAGCTATTTAAAATTATCAGGACTCAGATTTGAGATGTCTTCGTTTTGGAGACATTGGTCTGATTGTTGAAATTGATAGACAGAGCTATGGACAAAGAAGACAAAAAGGATGTAGAGGGATCCTATTGGTGGAAGTGAGTGTTTGCGATAGACTAACTAACGGCAACCCACGGGAGACCCTACAGTTAGTCCATTATTTTCTCCCTTAGTTTACAGGAATCAACCATTTCGATCCAAAGGATCGCTCCATACTCCCTATGTCTTCTTTGTCTATCAATTTCAACAATGAGCCTACAGAAGAATGTTTCGTTAAAAAATTATCACTTATTCTCTCCTTCAAAGATATGAGCGTTGCTACAAACTCTGTTTATACTAAACGGTCCACAATTTTTAACTATGAAACTATTTCTCCTAATGATCAATATTAAATTGATTGATTTTAATGTAACTGATGAGTTATAAATAGAAGGTCGTCAATACTGAATGAATAAGAACCAGGATCAATAATTTTCAAATGGAATGCAAAGGTTTTCAAAACTGCAACTAGCTCATGAAACGTGAAAGGAGGAACAATATTTTACCCCTGCGTGCATGGCTTGGTCAGAATTTAAATGTTACGATATCTGTGATTTCTTTTAATGTAGAATTTTTCTTTGTATGCTGATGTTTTTCTGTATTTGTACATTCCTAGAAGAAATTCGATGGCCAAAGTGCAAAAATATGTATCTCCATTTGTAACGTTATACAGTGTACACTTCCTGTCCCACTTTATTTTTCCTTTAAAAAACTAGTCATTATAATAACTTGAAAATGGAAGTAAGTGATTTCGCACTTTGGCCATCAAATCACCCAAGGAAGTGAATTGTTTGGCGAATCATCAATTTCATTGCCACTTATAAATTTTTCTGATGTTACTCATTCAAAAAAAAAAATGAAAATTCAGTGAAACAGCGAAATACAATGAAAGACAAACATACAATGAAACAGTGAAAAAAAATAATGAACCTCCTCCAGTTTTCTTGAAGTTGGTGTGTGGTTGCGGACAAGGAATAGTTTGATTTCAGTTCTTTTAACTATTGTGAGCCCTGCCTTGCCAAGGAGTAATGCTGTATGAACCTACTAACATTGCAAAATTTCCTCAAAAAAATCTTGAATTTTCAGGAAAATCGGTAGGAAAATGTCTCCAAATTTTCAGAGAATTTGGTTTGTAATTTGAACTAAAGTGTCTGCAAATTTAAAAAAAAAAAAATATTCATATCCTCAAAAATAAATATTTTCCTAGAGGAAATTATGCAACATTCAAATACCTGTACACTGTTTTTCCTTGGCACGGCAGTGCACTGATGCTGTTACATAAATTTTATGACAAACACCTAATTAAAAGAATCTTATCTTCAGCTCAATATTTCAATCATTCTAAAAAAAGATGTATGAGTAGATGTAACAGAGATAATTTGGACCTGTAATGTATGGATTTTTCTTTTAAACGAAAAGCACTCAAAGATTTACGGCAGAATATTGAATCCTGCTGTGAATCACTGATTTTCCTGGTTTTTCGACAAAAAGGAAAATTTACCAGTGAAATATTTCTATTTTTAGGCGCTTTCTAAAACAAATGTGACTATTTTCAGAATAATTCATGTTTGGGGCTCAAAATTACTGGATTGAATCGCAACTATAATTTTTTCACAGGCTCAGCTCAAACACTCAATTTATTCTTTGGGATACTTAAGGCCGTTGTGTGTTTAAAACTCCATTTCAGAAGTACCTCTCATAAATGTTACTTTAAAAAAACTGGAAAAGCATTTCCAGGGTAACTTGTAGTCTGGGAAACTTGGAAAGTCATGAACTCACAGCAACCTGGAAAAGTCAGGAAATTCATTTGAAAAGTTAGGGAAATTTTGCAAGCAGCATTTAACAGAAGGCAGCATAATTAGAAGGAAAAAAGTCAAAATGGAAGGAGAGTCATGGAATCCGACAATATTTGAATCAGGGGAAAAGCGAAAATAGTTTAGAACAGAAAATGAAGAATTTATAGAAACCTGGAAACCCTGGTTTTCCGTTTATGTAAATTTTAACATTTTCCTAAAGGAGTTGTCTTTTAAAAATAGACAAGTTTATTGTTAAAAATTATTACTTCTGGGTAAACGGTCTTCTTGAGCTTATGATCTTCAGTCAGAAGAGACTTGCAGGCACCATTTTAGAAAGAGGTATGCCCATCAATTAAATTCATGTTCCATCCAATATCTTCACCATTGTTTCTTAGCATACCCAGGGATATCACAGAGAAAAATTCCTCATTTTTTAATATTTCATACCTAGCTGTTTTTAAACTAAAAAAGAAAAGTATATGTTAAAGTTTGTATTTAGGCACTATTAATTTTAGCTGACAGAATTTCCATTGTTGAATACATTTTTAAGTGCATTTTGTCTTTTGTGTCCCTTTGTAGCTTGTCGGTTTAACCCCCAACAAGATAATCTACCTGTGAGCTGATTATTGAAATTGACCAAGCGATGGACAAAGAAGATATAGGAAGTATGGAGAAATCCTATAGGTTGAAATGGGTGGTTCCTATCGACTAATCTAGGGCGAAAATGACGAAAATGATGAAAATGATGGAAAGTGGATGATTGAAATAGACAAAGGAGGTACGTAATAGACTAACAACGGCAAGCGACGCGGAACCATATAGTTACTACACCATTATGTACCTCCTTTGTCTATTTCAATCATCCTCTTCCACTTCCACTAATAGGATCCCTCCATATCCCTCTTGTCTTCTTTGTCTATTGCTTTGCCCATAAATTGCAATAATCGGCTTTCTGGGACACACCATGTAGGAAGCTCATCGTAATTGTCTTTTCATTTCTTTTTTGCATCTGTAAATGAAATTTATATTTTGAAATAAAATACATGATTAAAAAAATATCTGTGTAAGTATAATTTGTTAAACAAAAGTGCACTCCAGTAAAAGCTTGTTGCTGAGAAGTTATCCTTTTCTCAACATTAGTGAAAATCATGAGCTAAGTAATCGAATCTCTATTTTGCATTTTCCCTCCATTTTGACGATAAAACTCAAAGGACATATCTTGGTTTTGGAAGTTGCAGACTTTCTGTCATACTTCCTGACAATGTCAATCCTTGAAAACTTCCATGATTTTTCCTCCCTGTGCAAAACAAAATCTGAGAAAACTTTGAGGAATGATGTTGGTTTGATTTCTTATAAAGAAATATAACAAGAGGAGACATTTTTTAACATTGCAAACGAGATGCGTGGTTTGAGATTTTCACAGTTGATATACTTTATTTCTGCACACACCTGAGAACACAGTTCCTGGCTTTCTGAAGGTGCAGTGTTGAAATTAAGCTCTCATAGATGGTAATCACTCCTATCGCTTAAATGGCTTAATTATAGCAAAGTAACTTCTGCAAAAAGTGCGTAACAGTTTGTAATGTAATGATATATGAAGCTCTACTATTATTCCTCTAATTTTGAAACAAACAATTTCCCATATTGCAAGAAAACGGAAAGGAAGCAATTGAAACTTTTTGAGAGTTTTTAATGTAAGTATTATGAAGGAAACAGATGCCGGAAAATTATTTTGAAATTTACTGTAACAAAATCGGATTTGCTTTTTACAGATGCTTCTTCCAGATTTCACAATTTTGCACTAAAATGCATTTACATTTTTTCGACAAATTCTTTTCATTCTCCACGCATTTCCTGAAAGGTTTCATGGCATTCTTGAATCAGCAAGGGAAACTAGTCATCAAAGGTATCCTAAAACATAAGCAGATCCAGATAATTCTATTCGGAGGGGGAGAGGGAGAAGAGGAGTCTCTGGAGAGGAAAATCTCGAATTTTAAAGCATCTAATAGGCAATTTGAGTTGATTTTGTCATTAATAGTGACCAAATATAAATATTCTTCTTTCTTTCCTCCATTCCGGCTTCTACATAAACGTATATTGCAAATTTTACTACCTTCTTCCTTTCTCACCTTTTTAATCTCTTTTTTCCGGGTGGAAGGGAGGGGGGCGCTCGCTCTTTCCGCCCCCCTTGGTTCTGCCAATTCCTTTAAAATTGGCACAAAGAGTGAGGTAAAACCAGGTTAACTGGTGGTGAAACCAGACTTACTCTTTCCCTGAAACTTTTTTACGAGCGTTGAAATGATGATTATTTGCCCTTCTTGTTGGTTTTTGTGACAGTAATTAAAGCTAAAATTCATCAGGGAATCATAAGCCTTGCAGTGCACCCTAAATAGGTATTCAATTCTGTGAATCTTACGCAAGTACCTGTTAGTAATTTAAAATGAAGACAATATTGTACAATAACAAATGACAGGTCAAACCAGAGTACACATCGAAATAATGATGCCACATTTTTTTCATGTGTGATGATACTTTTTAAAAGATTTATAAAAATTAAAGAAATAAATAAAAAAAGAAACAAAGTAAAAATATTATTTTTAAAGACCACTGATGTCAGTTTGAGGATAAACTAATTGTATCATGAGGTGGCATTTTTCACCTCAGAGTTCTTCATTTGAAGAAACTGACCGTTTTTTACCTCGTATTAGAATTCATTCACATCATGTACATCCAAATAATTTTGTCTCAACCAATGTGTAAGCATTTCCAACATCTAATTCAGTAACGCTGCGCTGTCGGTAATTCTACCGCAAATTTAAACCGCTCCAGCTTCGCGCCAGACTGGATGATGTCATCCAGCACCAATCAGAGGCAGCCGCGTCGCGAGCGGGAAAAAACTTGAACCGACGCCGACGCGACGCCATTTTCTTTCCTGTTTGAATTTCTCCAGCTGTTGTGCCGCTATCTCGACGCTTCAGATTAATTACCTGCAATTAAGTTTTCTCATGAAGAACCTGTCGAATTTTGACTCTCCTTTCTATTCGATTGAAACATTTGCACGTAAGTGAATCTTTATCGACCCCTATTAATCATTTGCCATGTTGTCAAGGCCCAGTGAAAATTCATCTTGGCAGGCTGAGGCTCTCTGCGATCTGCATGTTTTCCCTTTCTAATGCCATTACCATTTTATTACCACTTCTGCGGAAATCATCGCTGACCCAGAATATGAGTGTGATTCCAACGATTGTTGAGTTTCATCGACTTGGGTGTGAGAAGTTCTTGAATTCGGTGTGACCCGTCAGCGGTGGTCATTTAGGGAACGGAGAGAATCCTGGTCTGCTGGTCTAAATTTCGGGTGGTTCTTTTCTCCTTATTCCCTCCAACCTGGCAAGGGCGTTGATTCACAGGAAAGCAGAGTCTACAGTTTCCTTCATTATAACACCGATAGCGGGTGGTCTTTGAAGTTCTCACGAATCGAATCCAAATTGACGCCCAAGTTGTTCAGGTAGAGTTGGTTATGTAGCCAATGCTCGTTTCAATTCTTCTCTAAGCTAAGAACCTTAATACAGAGGACAAAAGCTCATCTGAGTATCAATTTTAGCATAGGTTTTCAGCTGTTTGCTGATCTGATGTGTACGTAGTAGGGATGTCAATACTCAGGGAAGTATCGATACCGGTATCGACTCTGAGCATTGATACCGGTATCGAGCATCGAGCTGAAGTATCAATACCATCAATACTATTTCTGATTTATGCTGTATTTCGGAGTGTGCGTATGTTTGTTGGCCGTCAAATTTACGCCTCTCTTGAAACCGCCCATATTCGCGTGCTTAGTCAACTATTATGAGCCCCTTACAACTGTTATCGAACCGATCTTTTAATATTGTTAACGAAAGTAATCATCTTGAGTAACCTGATCACTCCGTCGTTTGTCATAGTGCAGAGTGAAGGTGAAATAGAAGAGAGTGAAGGCATCTTTTTCTTTTCTAACAACTTTACTCTTGTTAATGAAGAAAAAGAGGCCTTCTTCATGACCAAATTAGATTAGGTATTGATACCATTGATATTGGGGTCTGAGAATCGATACCACATGGTATCGATTTCGTTAAGTATCGATGCCAAGTATCGATGGGTATCGATCAAAAGTATCGATACTTTGGAAGTATCGGTTAAGTATCGACATCCCTACTAAGTCTGGTAAGCCTGTTTGCCCCTTGTTATCACAGGGGATTTTTTTTTGACCGGCGGTGCAACCGATCACCAAACTGCGTTCTTTAATTCACTGGTTGGTGCCGACATCATGATCGGTGGAATTATGCCCTCAAATCTACTGCTCTGAGGATGGGAGATTTCTCCAGTACTTTCAATCCAAACAAGGGTATTTTGCGCTGCTGCCGAGTCTGATAATTCTGCATCGTTACTGTCGCCTATGTATTGAATTATGTATTATTCAAGCTTTATTATTGTTATTTTCCCTCGTACTTTAACTATGGCAGAAAAGGGGTTAATGCTGGTATATTGAGTATATATCTCCACTAATGCAGTGTCGGAGTCTGAAGAGAGGACGAAATCTATTAGTTTACTTCGTTGGAAAGTGCGTTCATAAACTACCGACTGGCGGGCAATTTCGTACCAAAATGGTGACTGGTGGAATTCCATCGATCAGAAACAGGAAACCTCTCATGCGTCCTTGCTAGTCAGTTTCCACCCTTGATATCTTGAGATGGCTGATTTAAAGGGACATGTCTTTCCCCTAGACAGTGGGACTTAAGGTGAATCCAGGCTTAGAATTTCGCTATTTGGCCACCATGTCGCGCTGATCAGAATAGTCGTACATATTTGCCAAAATAATAAAAACTGTAATACTTATTCCAAATTGGAGATCCAGGGGATATAGCAATATATTTGAGGAACACTCAGTAAACAAATCTTCTCCAAATTCCCAACATGAGGGATTCCGTTGCATGGTTGGCCGCCACCGCTGAGCTGAAAGTTTCAGCCGTACTTTCTCTGCGCATTCCAACTGCCAATGTTTTTGGCTCCAAAAATCAAGCAAAAAATAATCCATATCTTGTGGATCTGCTTTTTGTAATTTGAGGAATATTATTTCAGTTATTGTCGAAGGAAAATGAAATTCTCAGCGGTGACTGGTGGTGCTATCTCTAATCTTGAATTATCCCTAATCGAACCCTGGATTCACCTTAATATCTTTTCTGTTTCTAAGGATTTGAGTCAGATGCTCATTCATATCTGGGGTGGAGTTTTGATTATATTTGAGTATCAGGATTCAACAGGATTATGAATGCTGGTTATTCTAAATCATCAGTAGACCTTGAGAAGGAACCAAATTTCAGGACAGTGTAGCTTGAGTTGTTTGTCATCAACTCTCTGGTTACTGTTATGTTTTGCTCCTTTCTAATAGTAACAGAATCAGTCGAGAGCGGTGTTTTTTCAGTGCATGACATTTTCCCTACAGTCCATCTGCTATCCACAGTCTGAAGTAAGCAATAATCAGAATGAAGGGAAGATAATATAGGATGAATTTCATATAATCTGAATTAGGCCAATTGTTTAAACTCTGTTTTCAAGATCGAAACTAGTCCATCAAATTTGGGCTGTGCGACTGTTGAGTATTGCGGATCCAAAGCAAAAGGCATCTTCTTTTTATGTTAAACACGCATCAGAATAAATAATTGCCTTCTGATCAGTATTTAGTTTACAACTCATGTTGATCCAAAAGTAAAGACATCCGTTAGTTTTGATCAGCGACACTCAACAGTTACAGCGATGACTCATTTTGATTACGGAAGCCGAGCTTGAGCATATGGAACTCAATTGAATGGTTCTGTTTCCTGATGTGGATTTTGTTCAATCTGATCGCCTTCCAATCATAACAGCGACAACAAGAATAACAATGAGCACATAGTCGTAACTGATTGCAGAACGTTGAAGCAATTGACTAATTTTAGGCACAGAAAGGGCTGCATCTTGGCTCATCATTTGAAAACGGCGAAAAATAGCCCCACAATCTTTCGTCTGAACTATCATTATTTTGCAATGTAGCACCATTAATTCTGGCTCACTCCATGCTACTAGGTACCATGTGCAGCAGAGATAAGTCAGTGAATACTAGCAGTTCCTGAATGCAGTCCTGCTGACTTGCAGCCCCACATAAAAGTTTCAATAACCAACTTCTGAGCCATGTCTGCGCTTACTCTGGATCCTGAGCAATGACCATGTGGTCATCAGTAAAGCACCATGAGAAAAGAGTCTCTGTTTTCAAGGATGCAATTTCTACATCACTTTCTTTTCGGCTTTTTTCAATCTGTGAAGCTCATTTAACAGTTTTAAATTAAACCAATTTAAGTTTTAGAACTAACATTAGCTCTTCGTTAACACTTGAAATCACATACACCTGTTTGCCTTGTTTTGTGAAGAGTTTTCGTTACCCTCAGTACAATCTCAGTACCATTCTCAGTGATGACCTCAAAAACGGAAAAAGAGCAATTTAGAGATAATGGTAATTAGAACATGGCCCCTCAATCATTTATTTTTGGTTTCAGGAATGCCGCCAGACTAAGTAATGTGAAGGTGCTACCATCCTCTCTCATCCCAGATGGTGTTTTCTCTGTGCAGTGAGATAAGCAGCAGCTTGCTATCCAGTCGCCAACCTATGGTCTAAAACCAGGGTAAAGGTCTCCAAAAATTTTAATCTATCCTTTTTATTCATTTAAAATTATTTTTTGACATGTCTGGTTGTCATGGGTGGATTTTATGACCGGGCAGAAAAATTGTGGTCTCGCACAAAGAAACATATCTTGTCTGCCTTGTTTCACAATTTTTTCAAACATTTTATTTTTCATTACAGAACTGTCGCACTCATTAGCCTGAAAATTTTAGAGTCTTTTCTCCCATCAAGGGTGAAGAAGAATCACCTGAAAATTCAGAACAATCTGGACCGCATTTAGCAGGAAGGAACCAAGCCACATAAGCTATTGCCAAATTTAATCCGGCAATTCAATTTTTCATATAATAACGATTGTGCAAATTTCAGTTAATTTTTCGCATAGTATAATGCAAATTCATTCTAAATTTTCCAAGGAATCTGCGCGAAATTTTTTAGTGAAATATAAGATTGTCCAGTTAAATTTGGCAATAGCTGATGTGGCTTGCTTCCTTTTTGCCAAACGTCGTCCTTCTGTGCAAAGGTAATGTAATCAAATAAAATGTAAGTTATGAAATGCTGAATCAGCGCAATCAAAATACTTTTCTTTGTCTAGGTCACGGTCTGTCACTCGGGGAAAATGTTACATCTCAAAGTCTGCATGTAGGAGGGTTTGCCATTCACTGGAAATTAGTTTGCATTCTCTTCAGTAAATTATTTCTTAGTAGCAATTACCTCAAAATTCGAATCCCTCAATTACTCAATTTTCTCAAGGCAGTTAATGCTGTATTTCCATGACACCAATCTGGGATAGAAACCATAGTAATCGTGGCATCGTAAATTGTTGGTGGGCTGGGTGAGGTAAATAGGCCTCTCACAAACTATGATGGACCCTTTGCCATTTTTTAGCTTTCTCATGTTGTGAGCATAATCTCTCAGTTTGGTCAACTTTGAAATTATTCTTGCCGTACAGAAGTGAAGATGGTCTGAATTTTTTGGCCCAGTTGATGGCTCTCACATGTGGAATGAAAGCATGTGCAAGTTTGAGATCACCAAGAAATTTTTGGGCTGATAGAAAATTGAAGATTCGAACTGTTTAGATGGACAGAATTCCATTGTTTCACGCTTCAGTCCTCCAATTTATGGATATGTCAATTCATTCTCGGGTTAGTCGCTCGTTTCAAGGCTTTGTCGATGGATTTGAGATGGTCGATTGAATCCATAGGTACCACCCTCTCCTGTTCGAGATTAATTAAACCATTTATTTTCTGTTTTAAATGAGTAGCAATTCCGATACTTGCCTTCATTATTGTCTGAGCAGTATCGCCTCTTTTTTTTCTTTGACAGTACTACTTATGTCCAACGGCAAGGTTGGCTTACGCAATGCACAAATATAACACTGGTCAACACGGGTCAATTTGCCTACGAACTGTTAATTCTGCCTGAGCTAATTTTTCGCTCCGAGTCCAAACATGACCTGTAGTTTGCTGGGTTAGGTCGATTTTCCCCGAACAATTTGAATTTTCCTTAAAAATCAAGTTTTTCTTGGTAAAATCGGAATTTTCCTTGGAAATCAAGCTTTTCTAGAGAAAAGTCACATTTCTGGAAAATCTGTGCACAGCGGAGAAGCACTGAGGTCATTTTCAGATTCAGCAACCTGAAAAACATAAGGAATTTATTATTGCATGTCCATTGCCCATTTCCATTCCCAATATCGAGGCTTTTCCTGTCAAGTGCTGCGCGAAACAATCGGATGAGCTTCATATGGCGTATATCGGGGGAAAGGAGCTCTTGATCGGGAAAACCTTGATTTTAGGAATAGGGATAAAATTTCAATGGGCATGCAACTTGTCTCATCTCATGTAATTTTGGCTGCTGAATCCGAAAAGGACCTTAGTTTTTCTCAATCGTGTTCAGATTTTCCCAAAAGTAGACTTTTCCCTAGATAAACAAAGGCAAAGTAAAATTTTTTTTTTTTGATAACCAGTGAGTTGAAACAGGTAGCCTGAAAGGCCACGCGACTTTTTTGATTGAACAGCTGATCGGTTAGGGTCTTATCGTACCTCAGTGTGCTACTTAAGCTCGATGCGCCCCATAGTCAATCCGAACGTCACTTGTTTTGTACAAAGATCGAAATAAAATGTGTCTTAAAATCGGATTCCATTACACCCACATTTTCCATCTGTCAAGGATTCCTCTATCTGCTCCCGTTCAGTGAATTTTCATTTCTTACTTTTAATGCGGTAAAAAGAAATTAAACTTCTTGTTCAACAAATCTACTTGTTTTAAGTAATCCAGTCTCATTGCTGATCTCCCACTATCGTCTATCACTCATTAAATTTGTACGCCTTTTGAAGTAATTGCTATGAACACTTTTGAATCATGTTTATTCCAGCTTACCAAGTGAAAGAATATTTATTAATAAAGACTCTTAATAACTTACATCCTTATGCTGAGTTACTTGTTTTCATTTTCATATCACCTTTCGTACATGCTATATTCATTGATTTTCACAAATTTTTCTTGTCGGCCCTTAGTGAGGTCATGTAAAGACTAATACAAGCAGTAAGGAAGTTAATTTAAAACGACTTTGTCGAATGGTGCGTCAAAGCACATTTTTGCAGAAACTATCTTCTTTTTATTCGAGCTCTTCAATTTTTATTTTTAACTCACACACTGTCATGAGATACTTATCTAAATTGAAATAGTGGCTTACTTGATTCGTTGTTTACGGGATTTTGCTCTACAAGTGCAATAAAGGACATACAAAGTTGTATTTAACTTCTGAGGAATTGTCGGAGCAGAGGATTAAGGACTGTTGAATTCTTGATGGAATCTTAAGTTGTACTGTGAAAGGTAAGTGCCTACTGTATGTTGGTACCATTTTGTATTCTTCTTTCGTGTACTGTGTAGATATACATCAAAGTTAAGCTGCAAGGAAGGCTTTTCAATGAATGCACGTAAAGCAACTCTCACCCCACACAAGGGTGATTCGACATTTCAACTTCCTCGAATGGCGCTAAGAGGGTTCAAAAGTTGCTCTGTGATCTTAACAGACTCCTCAATTTCGACGGAATTTTTTCACACTCACTTCATCGGCCGGGATGGCATCGATGCCAATTTTTACACTTTTTCGGGTTTTTGGAGATGACTTGTCAACGGCATGTAAAAGAAATGCTAGTAGGTACAGAACGCTGCGAATTTTATTTTTAACGAAGAAAAGTGCTTACCAAGTTCTTTCTAGGTTCAAGGTGTCTACCAGTCCGGAATTCCCGGAAATAGTACTGATTTTTTAAGGGCGGTCCGCAAGTACTGAAAAAGTGCGGAAAGTCTGTCAGAAGGTCCGGAATTTTTTTTCATCTTTTGTCATTTTTGTCGCAATTTGAGCGAGACATTAAAATTTTTGAAATTTTTCGAATTTCGTCAATTGGAGGTACTGAAAAAGTACTGAATATTTATGTTGAGGAGGTACTGAATTCCTTGCGAATGTACTGGGAAAGTACTTAAAAAGAACTGATTTTTAGCCAGCCTGTTTTAGGAGACACCCTGTTTATCCGGTCGCGTGTTAAACCTGCGAAATGCTTAATTTTGACGAGAATGCTTCTGAATTGACTGAAGTATTGTGAGTAAAATCGTCTTATGATCACTCGTGTCGTGCGACGAGTGAGTAGAATGCTACTAAGGTTCTTATCAAATTTCAAATTCAGTGCTCTGTATTAGCCATGGCTAAGTTCAGGTCACAATGGGTACAATGAAGATTAACAGATCAGTTTGTCGACAGATTAGTCAGGTTTTAACCAATTTTCTAAAGCGTTTTCAAATTATCTTTGGTTTTAACAAATTATCTCGGGTTTTGAAATGTTAACAAAATACCTTTATCTACAAGATTGAAGTTTTGCCATGAAAGAGAATGAATATTGCATCTTATGGCTACATCTGCACCATTCTCTCTACGAGGAGGAAATAGCCGAACGTTAATGTGAATGGGGGAAAAAAGTCTCTATGAAAGAAGCGGCTCCTTTCTGTTCCATTAAACAGTTGGAGGCGAACCCGGTGTAAAGAAAAAGATGCGCAATTTAATATACAAGCAACTATCTTCATACTGTCGTGTATTCGTTTCTCTTTATGTCAACTGCGAGTAACGTAAGTACACAATAAAGTTTGGTGATCAATCGCCCTTTCGTAACGTGTAACTTCGACGTCCGAATAACTTTCGTAAACTTGAAAGCTACACTGGAAAAAAAAACACATTGGATCTTTAGTCCCGACTCTTGAAAACATTGACAAGAAAAAATAATATTGATTCAATCAGATTTAAGCTTAAATCAAAAGGAAATCCGCTCAATTTAAGAGGCTTGGTTCTTGATTGAAACTTACATCTGATAGAATCAAGAGTATTTTTTCTTGTCGATGTTTTTAAAAGTCTGGACTCTAGATCCAATGTGTTTTTTTTTTTTTTTTTTTTTTTTTTTTTTTTTTTTTTTTTTNTTTTTTTTTTTTTTTTTTTTTTTTTTTTTTTTTTTTTTTTTTATCCCCAGTGTAAGAAAATATTATTGTTGAGTGTACCGATGCGATTTCGTGATAACTTAATGTGAACATATTTGTCGACAAGTTTTTTCTTTTAACATGAAGAGGCAACTTTTTTTTTACTCTCATTTTATGACAACCGCAGCTTATCGATCACCGAGTATTCGATCAGCACTGCGGTGATGTTGCGACGTACGAGCAGAATGCTACTTTGGTTCTTTGCCAATTTTGGTATGATAGTGAAAGAATATCACATCTTACGGCCACGTCTGCGCTATCTGCTCTTCGAGGAGAAAATGACCGCACTGGAAAAAAAAAAAACGCATTCGATCTAGAGTCCAGACTCTTGAAAACATTGACAAGAAAAAGGAATCTTGATTCAATCAGATGTAAGCTTAAATCAAAAGAGAATCCGCTCAAATTAAGAGGCTTGGTTCTTGATTTAAGCTAGATTCTGATTGAATCAAGAGTATTTTTTCTTGTCGATGTTTTTAAAAGTCTGGACTCAAGATCCAATGTGTTGTTTTTTCCAGTGCGTATGAAAGTGTGAAGGGGCGGAGGGACGAACTCCGCTACAGGGTATTCGGTGAGGCACAATATTTTCAAAATTACTCACAACAGTCATAAGAGTTCACGCGGTTGAATGGAACGGAATTTTTCGGATTTCCTCGATGAACGGTCCAACTTTCTCGCCAAATGCTTGGCCCAATTTATCCATTTCTCCTGTCTTCTCCGATAGCTGCTGAGGAGCCATTCATGAGATAACGCTCAAGGGGGAGGGGATCGAGGAGAGCGTTATCCATTTTCAGGGTGTCTACAAGTCCGGAATTTCCGGAAAGTCCGGAAATAGTGCCGATTTTTTAAAGGCGGTCCGGAAGTTCTCAAACAAAGCAAAAATTCCGCAAGAAGGTCCGGAATTTGTTCATGTTTTGTCATTTTTGTCGCAGTTAAAGCGAAAAATTCATTTCGAATTTCTTCAATCGTAGGTACTGAAAAACTACTGATTTTTGGCCAGCCTATTTTAGTAGACAGCCTGATTTTGTCTTTGCGTGTTGCAGGATAAGGACCTACGTCAGGACAATAACGGGTGGGGGGGGGTGGTGGTTAAAATGTTAACGAAGTGCGTCACGTAGGTAACAAATAAGCGCTCCCCAAAGAGGCTTCTGTTACCAATTTCACGGCACGTTCCACATATTTTTTTCCACAGTGAAATCGGTCCATCCGTTTTTCGGTGGGGGTCGATCAATTTTTTGGAGTCGTAAACCTTTCCACTTTTACAGTTTCCCTACCTTTCCCTCCTATGTCTTATCCTGTCCTTCTATTTTCCCCCATTTATGTAGTTTTGTAGTATTTCAACAACTTCTATTATCATTTATCATTATTTTTTTTTCTTTCTTTTTTGCACGGTAGGATTGGGATATAGCTCCAAGGCCTTCCTAATTCGGTAAGTCCTACCAGTGGGCCGGGTAGGTGAAGATTACGTTCAGTACCTTGACCTTTTCCTTTTCCTGGGGGGCTCAGCTAATAATTTTTCTTTCCTTTATCCTTTCCTTTCCTTATTTTATTTTTACTGACTCTGAAGAGCAATGCGTCATGTAACGTTCGGAAGTTACAGTTCCAGTTCCGACCAAGAACAAGTGGAGAATTTACAACGCTGTAGTTCAAAGTATACTAACATGCGGATGTGAAGTTTGGCAGCTGAAGAAACGGACACAGGATGTGTTGAGAGCATCGGAGATGGATTTCTCGGGGAAGTCGACAGAAATCTCTAGGAGAGATCGGGTCCGCGTAATGATACAGTGCGTCAGATCGGGGAATTCGAAAATGATAACGTGTTCGACGTCATGTCCTAACAGCTTTTCTGGTACGGTGATGTTAATAGAATGAGAGGCTGCTATTAAAGATGCTTGATTTGGTTCCTCCCGGGAGGAGACGAAGGGGGCGCCCAGTTAAAGGGCGGCGAAGGGGGTTGTAAGGAAATGAAGGAGTGCCAACTCCCTGACGGGTTGTGGGAGGACCGAGTTTTGTGGCGATAAGGTGTCGCAGAGCGCCAGAGAGCGCTATGAAAGCGACTCTTATGTATATCGATACAGTTCTATGTGTCGGGCTGTACTCGTACTCTTCATTGTAAACAAATTCAGAGTAAAAGGCACTTGCCACCATTTACAGACACCTCAGAAACTTCATTTGACGTATGAACTTAGTTGACGATAACTACCTAGGGAAGTAGTGGCGATGCGTCACTGATCATCGATACTTCCCCATTTGAAGCTATGGTAAAGAATCGATTATTAAGGTGTCTGTACCGAACAACCCAATTATCGATCCTTTTCCGTAGGTTTGAATGGCAGACCAATCGATGTATCGTAGGCAAGGCTGTTCCTCTCGCCAATAGTGGCGACTCTGTGCCTGGGACGAACAGAGCCGCGTAATAATTTCGATTTGTAAGCCTCGCTTGCGATTTGATCATCGGGACGATGTCCAGGCGTTTAGGACGTGAGAAGCGGTCTCCAACCTTGGCCAATAACATTTGTACAAGCGGGATCGTTATTCCTGCGAAAAATAGTTTTCCGTAACCCGCCATACACTTTAGTGCACCGCTATAGTGGCCACAGAATAATATCTCTCGTAGCGACTCTACATTCACGACTTATCAGTTATCAGCGATTGGGAATCCCACGTTTATTTTCTTGCTTTTTTCCTCTTTCCCCTACTTTTATCGTTGTCTCCTCGGTCGGGCCAGTCGGTGATAGCTGTCTTTGAGGCTTCCCTCCGGTTCCATATCTGTTTCCAATTCTTCACCACACCGCAATCGGTGGCGAGGCGTGATTAATCGATTATCGATATTTCTCCATTTGAAGCCATGGTAAAGAATCGATTATTAAGGTGTAAATACCCTGTCTATCGATCCTTTTCCATAGGTTTATATGGGAGATCAATCGATATATCACAAAGCATGCCACGCCACTGACCGTAATAGTGTTGAGAGGTGTGAGCCACAACGTGGACAGATTGAATGAGAAATGGATCTTCAAAATAAAAGTTAGGTTCATGCTTAAGCGCCTGCAGTAGGTCATCTACAGCCAAGGGCAAGCTATCTATATATTTAATATCCTAAGGCCTTTTTTGGCCTCATACAGTTTGTGCTAATTCGATCTCGGAAACTACTGAACCGATTTTGCTCGTCAAATATTAATAGCATATAACTAGATTTTTTTTTTAGCTGTAACTCAAAATTTTCGCTATTATTTTATTTTTTAAATAAATATTTCGTGTCCAGGCAGTTATGCTGGTATGGACATGTGCAAAGAATGTCGGAGGAGAGGTTGCCCAAACAAGTTTTGGATTGGATACCACCTGGGAAGAGGCGACGGGGACGTCCCGTAAAGGGTTGGCGGCAGAAATATTATGCACCGTTTTCCCAAAAAAATTGAATCAAACTTGAATTTCCCCACGAAAAATTCCACTTTTTTTTTGAGAAACCTAATTTTGTGGGAAGATAATGGGTCATCGCAAAAAAACCAAGGTCAATTTTGAACTCAGCAATACAAATTACATAGAAGCTAGTCAACTATCTAGTCTAGTACCATAAAGTCCGCCGTGTTCAGATTTTTTTTTTATTTTTGGAGACCATTTTTGGCATTTTGACCGTCTTTTTTTGATGGTTTAGTTAGTGACAAAGATTTGACGCTAAATGTTAACGCC